AAAATCTCTAAATAGCAAAAGGCACCACTTCAGTGCTGGGTTAATGTGTATACAAAGTTTTGCGAAAAAATATTAAACGGTTTCTGAGTTATGGTTCGGAAACGGTGGGAACGCCGACGCCGACGCCGACGCCGACGGGAACCGTGCCAAAAACAATATGTCTCCCTCCATTCTGGGGGAGACATAATTATGAGTTGCGTGCGTACAAATATGCATGATAAAATGAAAACCCCAATAGTATAACAAGACTGTGCTTGCGTACCTGTATGTCCTTACTGATCAAATGAAGTTGTTATGCACACATGAACTCTACTGCAGTGAATAATGTCCTACATCTCACTCACTGTGCATGTATCACAGGCGTGGGTTATAGAGGTTATCACGTGAGTGTGTTTGGGGATGGTAAATATCCTGCATTAGGAATAAACATTGTATTTAGCGAGCCTTGGCGAGCTAAATACATAGTGTTTATTCCTAATACAGGATATTTACCACCCCCAAACACACAAGCGTGATAACCTCTTTATCATATAATGTCATGCTTTAATTCTGTGCTTTAAAATCGCTATCCCTCTCTCACAAACATTACCGAAACATTGCGAGTTTTCCTGGAATGCGCGCATCAATATTTATTACGTCACAGGGTAGGTAGGTTTCTTATACAGTGGCGAAGCAACATATACTTAAAACAACAGTTGTTTTTAATTGCCTTTCGCGGCAATCCATCAGTCTGTCCGCTAGAGTAACTGCCCTTTGTCAAAGGGAAGCTACACTAACCCTAGTCTATGAGACGTCACGGGCACGGTCAGACGTTGTTGACAGTCGGTCTGTCCTGTCATAACGTTAAGAAGTGTAGTCAGATGTACACACAGCGACAAAACCAAACAAGGTAACAATTCAAACATATTTCGGCCAAATCCAACTATTTTAATTTGTGGAGAAGGTTTCAAGTCGCAGAGGTCTACAAGCACAGATATTGCTACTGATCCCGCTTGGCAAGGCCTCGCGCCCTCGCAAAATTGTTTCGAAATTTATACCTCAAAAGTAGCCAAAACTTATAAAATGCCTTAGCTACGTCACAGTTAGACACTGACTTTCAGTATATTAGACTGTTCTTCTGATAATGATAGCAATTATCCCTGTTGTTTATCCAGATTCCCGATGGTTAATTTTGACTCGATCGCCGAATGACGAGGACGACGCCATGTTTGTTTATAAACAGTGAAAGTAGTCCTACTTGACCTTTGATATTTGCATCTCTATCCGCATATGACCCCAACGGATATCGTTTTTATCCGTTGGCTTTATGCTGTCGAGAAACCTGCCCATTATATGATAAAATGAGATATGTGACACACTTGGTTTGTTTGTTTGATGTTTAACGCCGTACTCAGCAATTTTCCAGCTATATGATGGCGGTCTGTAAATAATCGAGTCTGGACAAGACGATCCAGTGATTGATATCATGAACATTGATCCATGGAATTGGGATCGATGACATGCATCAACCAAGTCAGTGAGCCTGACTATCCGATCCCGTTAGTCGTCTCGTTACGAGACTCATATGGACATGTGCAAATCAGATGTCAGCTGAAACAGCATGTTAAGTAGAATTAACTTCAAAAAGGTCCACTCGTTGGTCTAAAAATAACCCAAAGACTGGACCCAAATGAGGTGACATATCTTGACTACCTGAAGCAAAATATCAATTCCCAAGGTGAATAACATGTGACTAAATACTCAATGGCTACAAAATTTTCTGAAGCCCTGATAGTCAGGGCTATCTCTGGGATTCAAATCCATAAGAGGTTTCTGGCCTACATAAGTGAAGCAACTCTGCACAGTGAGGCAGATAACTGACCCCCATGTCCCCCAAACCTGAACAGAATATGCTGACTTGAAACACAAAGGTACCTGCTGAAAAATGAATTGATATCATTTAGCTTTAATATTTTTAAACTGATCTAAACACTTTAGATTAGAAAAAGAAACAAAAACATTACTCCAAAATGCTACTAAACAGACAATTGATGTTGTTTAAGTTGAGAACAGTATGGTCATGTAGCCCCAAAACCTCTTCTCAACAAGTGGTGGATGTTAATCCCTAAATCTGTGATCGATAATCAATATGTTAATCAATAGTGAATGTTTGCAAGCTCTCGGAAGTTCATGGTCATGTTTTACAGACTGTTTATATGTCAAGCTGAGTTACCTTAGCACTCTGTATGTACCCTTTAATAAATAAATAGGTAAGGTCTTCTTTTCATCATAATTGTTGGCCTACTTGACGTTTATTTAACAGTTGTGATGTGGAGACTGGAGATATATTGATTTGAGTTACGCTAGGTTTTCCTTCTTCACAAGTGTGTTCGATTTTTCTTCCAATAATTTATTTTCTCAGTGTGTCTTTGTCACAATTTTACAGGACCATACACCTAATGAAATCTACTTCTGTTTTAACAGTCTTCATAACTGCGTAAGTGAACTTGGTGTACCTGCAGACATACGCAAAAATATCTAACACATGTATATTTATCAAACATGCACCCTTCTGAGATGCTAGACTAACGTACAGTCCCCAAAAGAGTTATGTATGTGTAAGGTTTGATAAAAACAATTCTACATAGGAACCCCCGAGTATTAAGGAATCCTCAAGAGCTGAAAAGAGGATGAGAATAGGCTGCTACAGCCTGACAGTGGAAGGGGGTTGATTAACATTTAGTCCCAGAAATAAAGTTTTGAAAATATATATCTACAAAATAAAACATATATAATGCAAATGGAGCCCAGAAGAATGCTTCATTTCAGGGCTGAGAGCTGAGGCAATCTAGACTTGCCAAATTATTCTAGACCTGAGTTTGATTCCTTTTTTAAATAATATTCTCTAGGTTCTGGGAGACAGGCTAGGAATGGGGTGCACAGATATGAGGCATAGCGAGGTGACACATGGTGCACAGAGTTGGTTAACTATCTGTTCAGTGCTAACTTGCAGATACCTTGTAGAAGTTGAAGTACCGTATTCGACGTAATAAGTGCCCGGGGTGCTCTCAAAATTAGAAATAGGGAGCTCTTAATAGAATGTTATTTTGGTGAAAAAAACAGAGTTGAAAGATTATGCTGACAGCCTGAAATGTTTATATACGACAGATATATTTTTCCAGAATTTAATTGCCCATAATTAAGGGTCCATATAACACATGACTGCATATTATACGTGAATAAATAAGTCTTTTGTACATTGATTAATCGGAAGGGGTGCTAATTGGGATTGTTCACTCGCAAATATTTTAGTAAATATCGCCGTGGGCGCTTATTACGTCGAATACCTTATCCCGGTTATATTGTGTTAGCCCACTGAGATACCATGCATTTAACATGGATACCCCACTCAGACACAGAATATTGAGTCTGTGCTGACACGTCCTTGTTTTATCCCCTTAATGCTGAACGCAAGGAAGGGTAACAATAAGTACCATCATTTAACATCTTTCACGAACCACTGACCTTCTGCTCTTTGGGCAGACACTGTATCGTGTGAGGCAGTTCTATTGTAGAATGAACTTTTCATATACTATGTAGGGCTGTGACGGGTAACTCAGGTACTCGGGTCGGGTGGGTTCTGAGTAGAACCTGGGTACCCACCCACAGGATACCAGGGTGCTAGGTTTGGACTCATCCCAACCCTAATACTATGCGCTATCAAATTATGTAGATTAGTATTTTTGTAACAATATCACAATTAAATGATACATTAGAAATACAGGTTATTATTTTCACGTATGTATCCCTGGCTGCTGAAGACCAATTCAAACCACGATCTTCACAGGGTCACTTTGGCATATGTTTAGATACTTGTGACAAAACATAACTGCATGATTACCCTATTAATTACCCTATTAATATTTATTCACTCTGGATGTAGTTAAAGTCATACCATATATCATACCAGCAAGGCTAGTGGCCGAGCTTCCTCTCTACTAGCCATGTAAGATGTGAACTTATTTAAGTGGACTGGTGTTTCAACACTGACATAGGTCTGAGACGAGGATGTGACCTTCAAGAAGATCCGTGGCACCATCGAGTTTGGCTATTCCATTGATTCCTTATATCCTTACTGGCTGCCAGAAAGTGTGGGAGGCTTGCACGCTTCTCTCAGTACACAAGGGAGGAATCTATAAAGCTTTTTTCCCCTTGGACTATCCTCAGTTGTTCAATTTCTTATTTTCGGTGTCTGACTTTCAATGGGGCTCAGGTTGAATTTACTCAGGTTTCTTGAACTTTTGTAAATGTAGACCGATAGGTCAGGTCAGTTGTATTTCTTCTGCTACATTTTTACTGAAAAACTATGCTAAAAAACAGGATGAAAAATAACAAAAATAACATATATTGTTAGGGTTGAGTTTGGTTTAATTTTAGTTTAAAACAAAAAAAGAAACAAAGAGATGTTCAAAATTTCCCATTCACAAAAACTGCATGTTTATTCATTACTTTAAAGTTTTGCATAATTGGCTGTAAAAAAGAAAATAGATAAATGGCTTTATTGACATGTGGCTAATGAATTTGTCTTTCATTCCTAACACAGATAACATTACCTTTTTTCCTGTAACATTGCCATAAATATTTGACAGCTTGATAGTGAATTACTTAGGATGCCTATTTAAGGGCCCTTGTCAAGCAAATTGGGAAAAAATTATTTGGATAAATATTGAGATATTTTCATTTCTTATGTTCATAAATCCAGAGGTACATAGAATACAATCAATGTAGTAATGTAAAACTAAGTATTTAAGCTTCTTTTTTGGTCCAGTTATCTGAAATAGAAGCTACAGCTACAAAGCATTCTGTTAGTTGAAGCTATATCAACATGAATTGGGAATGTTAATATTCTTTTAGGGGAACTTTTACTGACATTTGTCACAGACATTAGGCTGAATATCTGCCTCTTCCCAGGTCAAGATAAATTCCAGTTTGATAATAATTTCTTAAAACTGTGACCTTACCCCTGTGACTGGCGCGACGCTGATGTCGACAAGAGTTACTGGGCTTGAGGAGGAGAGGACGCTTGCTGTCACAGTCATCAACGTCAACGTCAACATCACAGAGGAGTGGACGCTCACTCTCGCACTCCTCACACTCCTCATGGAGTGAAAGGACGTCTGCCTCATCGATGTCTGAACACATGCCTATAGTTGCTGGTGGTTTCTGGTCCTGAGAGGCGAGCTGCCATAACTTCTCCGCCACCTTCCAGACCATTGAGGCGCTGCACTTCCCTACTCTACATTAATGGTGGTGGGTATCAACAGCAGATACAACACAAGTTGGAGAGACACACACAAGGTAGATCTATCCCCACAACGAAGGGCTCGAGTTTCAGGGTATCTGTGTGCAACAGATCCTGCTCCTCAACACATCTTGAGAACACACAACTCAAGCAGACAAACTGGGGTAGATCCACTTCCACTTTAAAGCAAGGGAGACTTTGATGGTATCAGTTGTAAACAGGATTCAAGGAATCAACACAGTTAGCATATATCCAGCTGCTTGGTTGAAGTAGTGTTTTCGTATTCACAAAATTACAATTTGACCTTTTGGAGTCGGACAGCTATTCAGTTCAAGCAGTGCAATCTCTCTTAGATCACAACCTGGTGAAATGTTTCACACAATATCCAGTGTTAAACTGGCTTCCAATCCAACAGGAATATATTCTGATAACTGACTTCACAGTGTGTAACACCAATGCTATTTTGTATAGTGGGACATATCCATGAATCAAATATCGACAGTAGCACACAATATCCACCTTGCACACAAACATGGATATTTTATCCTGATATCGAATTTAAAATGGTGATATTCAGTCTTCATAGGATGCACAAGCTTTCAGGATCAACTGAATCTAATCTAAGTGTTTCTGCCACTGGATCTGATGCCTCAACAATGCTTAAACATCAGCACCATCACATACTGAACGAGACTGGCTCCAAGCCTCGCTCTACTTAACATGGACGTGGTAGAAACGACCCCAATGTCACATCTACTCTCTACAGAGCAGTGGAGTAGTGTCCGCCTGCTCCGACACTTGTTACCAATTCACACCACCAGCCCTGTCATGGGATCCAACTCTGCAAGTCGGTTACTGCATTCCCGCCATTACAAAGTGGAATTGCGAATCAATTCTGGTGTGAAAACTCCCAGTTGGCAGTTTTCAATCAATCCACAATCGTCCACAGTCACAGTGGGTTAAGTTTTTAGCTGGAGCATTATGGAGGTGGCAGATACGTCTGTGACTGTTCATAGCTGCAAACAGCTCATCTATCAGTCAATATGGACCACCTGTTCAATGCTCAGCAGTAATTGTTCTCGTGGAATTAATGTGCGTATACTTATGCAGAATCAATTTCCATTACGAGAAACACTATTTACATACATACACACGAACTGAGGGCCATTGTCACTCCTCTTCCTTCTCCATGTAGCAAAACATTACATTAGCAAACGACCTTCCAACAAATTATTTGTCACAAATTATCAACAGAAATCCTTTCATCAAAAATCTATGCTGCAGCTAGTTGAGTCAGAGATGATAGATCTGTATATGATTTCTGATTAAGTGCCGTCTGGTAGCACTTAATGTCTATCACACGTTTGCATCCTGTGGAGAACACTTTCTTGATTTGAGGTGATGAGCCAGGTGGAATCAGTGTCTGTGTCACTGTACGAGATTTACCAACCTTGATCTCAAAGCAGAAATGGCACCTATTCTCCTTCTTGTCACCAAAGGGAAAATATGACTGACCGTTTGAAGTAATTTATTACAAAGGATTTCAAACTACAGGTAAGTCATCACCTTACTTTTTCAAATTCATCAACATGATCAGGGTACAACACCACACACCAGAATCTTAAAATACCTCCCAGCCAATACTATCAGTCAGAAACAAATCTTCATTGACAGAAACAGACTGCAAATAATCCTCCAGGATTTCGAGGTACAAGTCCGAACTTTGAAATAAAGCTGCTGAGGGTAAGACGGTCTCTGGAGACTGCAGCAGTGAAATGGTTAAAACTATTATCACAGAAGGTAATTACAACGGGAGCTTGCACTTGTAAAACCTCAGATTTCGATGATAGCTCAGCAGCGGAAAACTAACAATGTTCCCTCGTATTAGATATTGATAAAGCCATTAGCTGGTGTTTAGGGCCATATACCCTAACATTCCAGAAATTTAGTATGGAACATTGCACACGATGAAAAAAGTTAATGGTCTGGGCAAACAGCTGAAACAATTATGGTTTTATCAATATTTCCTTTTACAGCTAAATGTTTGCATTACTTGCTCAGCTTGTAAGCTATTAAACTCCAACTTTCCTAAAGGACAAAAAGACTCTGAATACTAATGACAGATAACAAAATGGCTGTTGCTGATTTCCGATATTGACAGTCTTGTGTTCGATCAATAAAAGACAAAAGGCAATGTCTGATTATGCTTGGTAGCAAATTGATAAAGATCTGACTTCCAAGGATCCCAACTTTACCCTTGAGCAGGGATTTCCCGCAAGAACAAATCTATCCGTGGCACAGACGTCTTGAAGATTAATCCCAAGACAAATCCCAAATAATGCAGCTCAGGTCAAATAAAACTGAATGAAATCCTTCAAGATTGTTGACTGATCAATCCAACGATGACTTATAATCCAGTTTCAACAACCAACTATGCAAGTAGATCCAGGATTCTGATCGGTCTTCAAATGTCACAGTGCCTCAGACTTTGTTTACATCAGAAAGTGGATGCCTCTACAGCAATCAGTCCCAGCAACCTACAATGCTTTCCTGGCAGCTCGTTATCAGTCCCCATCAAACCCTGATAGGACCTCAGCAGTCATAGCCAATATTCCCCTTTACAACATTAGCATGTCTTGGATGGCGCCAATGTCTCACAGGAACACATAATTGCTGATTCGAGAAACCTTGTATCTTATCTGACAATTCTTATGTTTCTTGATTCACTGTGAACAACTGTAAACATCTTCAGAATTCCATCACATAAATATCCTACCTTTCTCCTTCCTGCTGAGAAGGTTTGGCAGTAAGATGCGATATAATATCCAGCAGAGGCGTTTTAATCGATTCTCCCTTCAACTATTGAGCAAGTTTAAGCAATGCCAGTCACTTACCTAGTGCAAGTAAATGTTTAAACTCACACACACACTAAAATCTTGCTTTGTTTCAGAGCAGGATACTAAGCCATTGTTTATGAATTCTGTCAATGCTGTCCTTCCATAAAGAACGATTCCTTAACAAGCAGACATTGATCTGTGGATGGCAAATGTTTAAACAGTATATACTCGTGTATCCGTTTCAAGCAGGCTCATCAGCCCTGTACGTTATCTTCAGCTTCTACATCTGGCACAATGTCCATCCTCATTCAAGATGGACACGAACACATTATAACTGCACAGTGCTCCGCTTCCAAGTCAGTCTGTACTATTCGATGCACCCAGTAGGGAGTCATTAAACCATCTATGTCCCAACAGCAGTTCACATTAGGCAGATCACTGTAGTGTAACAACTAAAGACGATTTGACCTCTGGTAGAGTTGACCAATCAAACTGAATATTCATTACTGGAGGACCAGTCAGTGTTCCCCTCCGATCAATGGCAGCTGGACTGACACAGGATGGACGAGACATGTGGCTGTTTACCCAGTGAGGCTCTCCACAGTTGCCGCCGGGACTCCAGATGCTGGAGAGGTGGGGCAATCTGTCACCGATGGCAACATTTTATTAAAAAATATACATTTTTCTCTTTCAATTAAGCTGTAAACTTTCTTGAATTGGAACTGGAAATTTTGATTTCGGAATAAACTTGATGATAGGCCATGAAAAAGCATTAGTCACAAATGGCTGTGTGATGACATTTATTTTATTTTATTTAATCATTATCTTATCATCAAGTAATCATTTGACTGTCCCTATCTCATTTCCTTGGAATTCTGAGCTAGTTTACTCAATCACTGATCAGTTAATGATTCATGTTCTCAAGTGCAATGTAATGTAGCACATACAAAGTAGTGTGTTGACCTTTCTTCTTGCAGCCTATTCTTATAAATAGGATTCATGCATGGCATGACAAAGAGTATGACTTGAATATCTTAATATACTAATGGAAAAAAGCACCATAACTGTGCTTCACTTAAAGTTCATTAAAAATGAATTTATTCTGAAATTAAGAAATGCATCTTTCAATGCATGTTCATGAAGATGTCTCCTCAACTAGATGTTTTTGTGTTTGTTGGGAGCATGATATTTTTTGTGTGACCAACAGCACACAACGATTGTCTTGCTATCAGTTGCTCATAAAAACACCTTTGTTTAACCGTAAATAACACTTATGCAAAACAATGGCTTGCTGAAAAATCAACTTGCTGAAAATCAAACTTCTATGCTCTGTGGGTATACCGCAAACAGGAATGGTGCAAAACGAAGTCGCCAGACATTATAATGTTCATCGAAACACAGTATCATCTCCCAGCTTTGACATTATAAGCTGTGTTGGTCATACAAGGGTGTACAGGCGTCCAGGAGAATGTTTTGGCTCACAGTAGAAAGTGTAGAAGTGTAATAAAATGGGGTGGCATCACAACTCATGGGACAATACAACACAATTGTTGACGGCAATTTGAAAGGCTTATGCTACCAAGATAACATTGTTTGATATTATGTTCTACTCTTTGTGCAAATGCAGGGATGCAACATCATGTTGCAGCAGCATATACATTGCACACGTTGTAACACATTTATTTTTTTTAAGACTCTTATGACAGGACCAGAACCAACCGGTAACGATAGCTCAGTTGGTTCAATCTTTGGTTGACATTAGGAACATCCCCAGGTTGTTTCAATCATCTGGTGTCTTCAATGCTCAATTGCTGCATCGCCTGTATCAACCTAAATGGGGTCACACACTATATTGACATTGTTGATTGAGTAGATACACCACCCTTCTTTTGGGGCATGCCCCTCTGTCTCCTGTTACCAGATATGGGTTTTGTCAATGAATTTGTTATAAGACATATGTTCAGGTGAAGACCAAATATTATGTTGTTATTTGCAATAACTTAACCTTTACAACACCTTATATGAAGCACAGGTACTTTTTCTCAGTAAGCATATATATCATACTTAACGTGACTTGTATCTAATTGTGCGCCAAACATACCGCAACTCGGTTATCCTAACATACACAAAATTAGGAGTGATTAGGTTATCCCAGTGTACACCCAACATAGAGTGACTGGGTTATACTAGTGTACACCCAATGCAGAGTGACTGGGTTATCCCAGTGTACACCCAATGCAGAGTGACTGGGTTATCCCAGTTGCCACCCAATGCAGAGTGACTGGGTTATCCCAGTGTACACCCAATGCAGAGTGACTGGGTTATCCTAGTGTACACCCAATGCAGAGTGACTGGGTTATACTAGTGTACATCCAATGCAGAGTGACTGGGTTATCCCAGTGTACACCCAATGCAGAGTGACTGGGTTATACTAGTGTACACCCAATGCAGAGTGACTGGGTTATCCCAGTGTACACCCAATGCAGAGTGACTGGGTTATACTAGTGTACACCCAATGCAGAGTGACTGGGTTATACTAGTGTACACCCAATGCAGAGTGACTGGGTTATCCTAGTGTACACCAAATGCAGAGTGACTGGGTTATCCCAGTGTACACCCAATGCAGAGTAACTGGGTTATCCCAGTGTACACCCAATGCAGAGTGACTGGGTTATCCCAGTGTACACCCAATGCAGAGTGACTGGGTTATCCTAGTGTACACCCAATGCAGAGTGACTGGGTTATACTAGTGTACACCCAATGCAGAGTGACTGGGTTATCCTAGTGTACACCCAATGCAGAGTGACTGGGTTATACTAGTGTACACCCAATGCAGAGTGACTGGGATATCCTAGTGTACACCCAACATAGAGTGACTGGGTTATCCTATTGTACACCCAACATAGAGTGACTGGGTTATCCTAGTGTACACCCAATGCAGAGTGACTGGGTTATCCTAGTGTACACCCAATGCAGAGTGACTGGGTTATCCTAGTGTACACCCAATGCAGAGTGACTGGGTTATACTAGTGTACACCCAATGCAGAGTGACTGGGTTATCCCAGTGTACACCCAATGCAGAGTGACTGGGTTATACTAGTGTACATCCAATGCAGAGTGACTGGGTTATCCCAGTGTACACCCAATGCAGAGTGACTGGGTTATACTAGTGTACACCCAATGCAGAGTGACTGGGTTATTCCAGTGTACACCCAATGCAGAGTGACTGGGTTATCCCAGTGTACACCCAATGCAGAGTTACTGGGTTATCCTAGTGTACACCAAATGCAGAGTGACTGGGTTATCCCAGTGTACACCCAATGCAGAGTAACTGGGTTATCCCAGTGTACACCCAATGCAGAGTGACTGGGTTATCCCAGTGTACACCCAATGCAGAGTGACTGGGTTATCCTAGTGTACACCCAATGCAGAGTGACTGGGTTATACTAGTGTACACCCAATGCAGAGTGACTGGGTTATCCTAGTGTACACCCAATGCAGAGTGACTGGGTTATCCTAGTGTACACCCAACATAGAGTGACTGGGTTATCCTATTGTACACCCAACATAGAGTGACTGGGTTATCCTAGTGTACACCCAATGCAGAGTGACTGGGTTATCCTAGTGTACACCCAATGCAGAGTGACTGGGTTATCCTAGTGTACACCCAATGCAGAGTGACTGGGTTATCCTAGTGTACACCCAATGCAGAGTGACTGGGTTATCCTAGTGTACACACAATGCAGAGTGACTGGGTTATCCTAGTGTACACCCAATGCAGAGTGACTGGGTTATACTAGTGTACACCCAACATAGAGTGACTGGGTTATCCTAGTGTACACCCAATGCAGAGTGACTGGGTTATACTAGTGTACACCCAATGCAGAGTGACTGGGTTATCCTAGTGTACACCAAATGCAGAGTGACTGGGTTATCCCAGTGTACACCCAATGCAGAGTGACTGGGTTATCCTAGTGTACACCCAATGCAGAGTGACTGGGTTATCCCAGTGTACACCCAATGCAGAGTAACTGGGTTATCTTAGTGTACACCCAATGCAGAGTGACTGGGTTATCCTAGTGTACACCCAATGCAGAGTGACTGGGTTATACTAGTGTACACCCAATGCAGAGTGACTGGGCTATCCTAGTGTACACCCAATGCAGAGTGACTTGGTTATACTAGTGTACACCCAACATAGAGTGACTGGGTTATCCTAGTGTACACCCAACATAGAGTGACTGGGTTATCCTAGTGTACACCCAATGCAGAGTGACTGGGTTATCCTAGTGTACACCCAATGCAGAGTGACTGGGTTATCCTAGTGTACACCCAACAGAGTGACTGGGTTACCCTAGTGTACACCCAATGCAGAGTGACTGGGTTACCCTAGTGTACATCCAACATAGAGTGACTGGGTTATCCTAGTGTACATTCATCATAGAGTGACTTGTTTGCTGTCAAACACACTGTGACTTAGTTAAGCGCAAGACAAACCCTGTTAACTGAATGTAGTTGTAAACAGTGATAAGCCGAGTCTTGAGCTTAAAAAGGACAGCTAAACAGCTTCAGTGGCAGAGAGATTAGTGATGCTATTTGATTGTGATGTCACGCTAACCCATACTTGCTGAATCACAGATTTCATACTCATATATACAGAAATACATGTGCAAACTGACATTAACAATATGGCTCCTGTGGTGGCCATGTTAAAATTGGACAGGAAAAAGTGTGAGCACTGTTAAGAGACACGACAGCTGGGATCATTCATGCAAAGTCTTCAGCTTCATAGCAATGTGGGGTAGCCTAGTTGTTAAAGCATTCGCTCGTCACACCAAAGACCCAGGTTCGATTCCCGACATGGGTACAATGTGTGAAGCCCATTTCCCTACCGTGATATTGCTGGAATATTGCTAAAAGTGACGTAAAACCATACTCACTTTCAGAGCAGATGATGAAAATATAAAAGTTAGCAACAGACGGATGTACGGACAGATAATGCGCATGAGACATGCTCACTTGACTTCCAGTCAGATCGGTTAAAGAACTGCCTACTATGCCAGTCACCACCCTTCACCCCTGGAACATAATTAGACTGTGGCAATATACTGTTCATGTATTGGGTCCTTCATAGCAAGTTCAGCATCTCATCCAAGTTATAAGCCACAACCCTATTGCAGACAGACACATCCTAGGAATGTCTTTGAGTGACATGAGCTGAAACAGTGTCAGGATACGGGATTTACATGTGTATCCTTGCCACTCCATCAAGATCTTCCTCACATAACCAAACAGTGTCAGGATACGGGATTTACATGTGTATCCTTGCCACTCCATCAAGATCTTCCTCACATAACCAAACAGTGTCAGGATACGGGATTTACATGTGTATCCTTGCCACTCCATCAAGATCTTCCTCACATAACCAAACAGTGTCAGGATACGGGATTTACATGTGTATCCTTGCCACTCCATCAAGATCTTCCTCAAATAACCAAACAGTGTCAGGATACGGGATTTACATGTGTATCC